AACCACGCAAAGACACATGAATTTCCATACTGACTTCACTATTTCTGTCATCATCCTCTTCTATATTTCATTCCATGTTACCTTTGATTCTTCTTACCTCTCTCACTTCTCACATCCAATCAGTTACCAAGTCCAGGCAATTCTGACACAGAAATATATCTAACATTCATTCCTTATACCCAGTACCAACAACTTGAATTATTTCAATATCCTCTTAATAGATCTTCCTGTTTCTCTTCTCTCTACCCCCTCCAATTTATTCTTCATACAGTCTAATCTTCTTGAAGCTTAGCTTCAGGCATGTTCACCTCTGGTCAAAAATCTTCATTGGCTTCCTACTGCCTGAAGGAAATTCAAATTAAGTCATTTCACCTTCAAGACATTCCACAAACTTGGACCACCCTCACCATTTCCTACCTTATCTCACGTTAACCCTTTTGATGTACTCTATGCTATAACCAAATAGTATTATTCTCTGCTCTCTACACTGGCCATGTGCTTCACAAACTAAACTAACATTCTTTGCTCATGCTCAATACCTGGAATGTTTTACTTTCCCCTTTTCAACTACTTAATTCTTTTCCATCTTTAAAAGGCCAATTCATAAACTACCTCCTAATCAGCCAAGTGAAGTCTTCTCTAATAACCAGTAATCACAATCCATATAACCTTTGTTTTAAGCCTTTAATGAACTAGCTTCTCATTGTATATTTGTTTTATTCCTCTACTACACTGTAAGCTAGAGCTCCTGTCTTCTAGGAGATTATCTGAATCTTTTATCTCCCAAGGGTCTTTATTACAGTGCTTTTGTTGTTTCAGTCAGTTTCAGTCAATGCAGATATATATTATCTATTCTTAAAGTTACCTTAATTATATAGGTTGTGAAAAAACAGGTAACAGACAACAACAATGTATCCTCATTGATAAAATGTTAACGGATTAGAAAAGAACAACAGATTCTCACAACAAATGCTCAGTTTTAAATTTCCACAGAAAAACTTGGAACAAAAGAAGAGCTATGGGCTCAGATTCTTAAAATCTAGCCAACCGATGAGATTCACTCTGGCCCGCTTGTCAATACAAGGGTCACAAATATTCAGATTCTTTAAGAGTCTGCCCAATATGGCAATAAACCTTGTCTTTGGCTGGGGGAAAAAAAAAGAGCTATGGAATATATGTGCCTTAAAAAATACAACAGCCAAAGGGTGGTTAAACAAAAAAGGGAACCAAATATCACACAGATCACATTTATAAAAATGTGGGTAAATTTGAGATAATTAAGATAGGCATTACTATTGCATTTTACTCATGATTTGCCCAAGGTCACAAAATTCATTGACAGAATTGGGAATGAACAGTAAGTTTCACAACACAGCTAACCACATGGAAATAAAGAGTAGATTCAATAGGAAGAGTCACACAAAGTGAGACTTGTGGAATATATAAGACCATTCCTGATAAAAATACATTTTTTTTTTTACAATGTACATTAAAGCATCTGGTCTATACCTCTGAAAATATAGTCTATGTACGATTCCAAAGTCAAAGGCACAAAACACAAAAGTTAATAACTGTAGTAAATGTAACTATGCTCATTTAATAATAATAGTTGACATTGTACATAGTACTTTAGGTTTAAAAACTCTTTCATCTATTATCGCAGTTGAATTGAAACTTGGACTCCATTAGTGTAAACCAAATTCCTTCTATAAAGAATAGACTCAGCAGAGACCTATGACTTTCCCAACAACTCTGAAATCTTAAGAAGACTATTAATCCCTCTTATCAGTCTGTAATTCATTTTTTATAGACTGATTCACTTAATTTTAAATATAAGCTCACAAAGGTTGAGATAATAAAATCAGATATTAGCAAAATTTCCAATGCAACAGGAGCAAGAAGATTTTAAGGCAAGAAAAATGATCAGAAAATATGTCTGGAGTAGGGAATAACTGATACTCTGGAATCTAGGGGTAGGGAAATAATCAATAAGTCTATACTATCAAGTAAAATGATCTCATGTTTGATAGGAAAATTCATAGTTTTTAAAGGAAACTTTTATATAGTAAGCAACTTTATCAATATTTCAACATTATGCTAAATTAACAATAAGTTTCCATTACTGTACTTTTGGGAGAAATTCTCTCTCATTTATGTAGTAAAAATTTTAAAGGGAGATTTCATGGAATATGTGTAATATCTCATTCAATAACTAACATATTTATATTTCTAGGACTAAAATGGAGACCATTTATATAATTCCTTCAAATGGTTTCTTCTGAGATAAAATAATTCCACTTGTACAAAAATGACAACTGTCATGCAACAAAACCATCAATATGACTATGCTGAAATACATGAAGACTTACTGAATTCAGATCATGCGCATACGGCATTAATGGATCTCTTCTTACTTTTATCTCGATTTCCCCCTAACACCAGGGACTATTCTAATTCAATATTCATTTCTCATTTTTTCCGATAGGGAAAGACATGTTATAAAAGTACAGCAAACCTATAGCAAATAACTAACTTTCAGATTCTATTCCTAGAAGCTCTATTGATATGTAGGTGCACATTCCAGTGTAAGCTGATGACCATCATCTATTTGGAACGTATTTATAAAAGATTTAATTTCTTCAACTTTTATATTAGTACTTTTTGCTTTTTAGAATTAATCAACCCTTCAAATACCAATGACAGATTAAGTTGTTTTTAATTTATTAAAGGAAATATACATAACAGGAAGATTAGCAGAAATCAGAGATGAAAATTAAAGAAACAAACAACAACTACAAGTTTTTGCAACAAAAGATTCGGAAAAGCCTTCAAGAAGTACTCTAGACGGAAACTAGCTGGCTGTTACAGTGGAGGCAAATTCCTTCACTTGACCTTTGTTGACACCAGCAATTAACACTATTTAACTGTGCGTGCATAGACTTGAAAACAAAAGTGTTAGTGACCATAAAATTATGCTTTAAAGTAAGCATTACAATTAATATAAAGACATATATTTATATATTTATCTTCTAAATAAAGGTAAAGTAAGTTTAGAAGGTTCTGCAGATTACATTTTACTAGTCAGTAGTAACGACTGGGTCTAGGGATATGAATTTACAGAGACACAGAGCACCTTTCCAATCACACTCTTGAATTAACAAAGGTCAAGTATTATCAGAAGACTGAATCTACAAAACAACCAGGATTTGGTGTTCAAAATGATTAATAATATTACATTAGAGACAAACTAGAAACTAGTTCTTTCAGTTCTAGCGTAGAGATGGCTCAAATACAGAAAACTGTAAGAGTAGATCTTTCTTAAAACAAAGAAATGAACATCTACAGAACTAAACAAAAGAAGCCCTTATCTACCTTTACAATTTTCTCAAGTGGAAGATATGCTATTACCCTTTACACTATCTCCAATTCAGTTTAATACTTGACCACTGGCTGCACAAAGAGCTGGATCCAAAACTGCCCTGAAATGTCCTTATTTGGGCAGAAGCAAAAGTCTAATAAATGTGCATGAGACTCTGATGCTATCCCTACATTTTTTTTAAATGTCCTACATTAATAGCATTACTTTTCATTTATATGCTTCCTTCCTGTTTTCCCATAGCATTTTCACACAAATTATCTTTTTAACCTTATGATAAATGACTTAGTAAAGTGGAATAGCAAACATTTTTATACTGACATTAAAGCCACTTTTCCCCTAAATCTAGCTTGTGTAAAAACTGAGTGCAGTCTATAAACAATCTTCTTTTTCTGTGTATGTTTATGTACTCTTTTTCAAAAGCATCTGATTTTTGCAATGAAGCCTACATTTGGTACCAACATGGCATCAATCTCCCTTAGATTAAGTGACTTGTCCAAGGTCACAGAGCCACACTAAAACCCAGTTCTTCCAAGTCTCATCCAATACTAGCTGTATTATAAATACACAATACCTGTCACCAAAGGAGCAAAGCAAATTGTGTAGATGACTTAGTGTAAAACCATCAGCACAACTGGAAAAATAGCCTAAAGCACATTAAACTGACAAAGTCTTTCTAAATCTCAAAGGTGATTTCCTACTTGCCCAGATTAAAGTCTGTGAATGTAATAATAAGATTTTTCATCCTAGATGTTCAACCTTGTAAGGATTTTGGAGAGACGACATTCGAAATTTAGTCCCAGATTTGACCAACAGAATATTTAAATTTCAAATATCCTCCGTCACCTGCAACACAGATCCTCTTTTACAAAAGTATTTACGTAGCAAACTTGCTCTTTATTGGGAGTAACAACTAGTGCCTTAATTACAGCAAGGAACATAAATATTTACAATACATTAACATGTATAAGAGTAATGCACATATAAGTATCAGTTTCATGATTTCAGTTAAATTGTCTGCCTTATTATTGTAGTTTTAAAAGCTAAATATTTTTCCCATCCTCATTTTGGCAGAGCTACCATATAAATGAACAAAGAGAGGAACAGAAATGGAAATACACTTAAAAACATTTTAAAAAATACAAATATAATCTTTTCATATTAATAGGTACTTTTCATAATGAGTTAACAACAGTAAAGTACAGACTTTAGCTCTATTCATTTGCTTTTAACTTTAATATACATTACAGTAAAATAACCACAAACAATAACAAAGCAAAAATTCTCAGCAGAAATGAATGAAAATATATCTGAAAAGGTTTGTAAAAGCCTTGCCATATACACTATTACCCAATTCTTTTCTTTTTAATTCTTTTATTTTGATTATTAATAAAAGTGGACTTTTTCAATGTGTAAATGGCTTTCAATACAAATCTCATTTTATTTAACATCCTTTTTTTAATTCTGTAAAACACACAGGTGGGAATAATTGATGTATTAAAAACTAAAACAATGAATGCTGAAAAGCAAAATTATTTTAATTCAGCACGGTATATACTTCTTTAAAGTAACTATAGAGGACTTAAAAATAAAATTATATCATATTATATCTTAGTATACATACTGTATTGCCCCGTGCTAGTCTGATATATGCTAGTTGGCACTGCCATGGTAGCGATATTAGGTGGTGTTCCTTCTTCCTCAGATTTTTCTTCTTCAATCTTGGGAACACCAGGCACATCAGATGAAAGTTCATTAAGTATTTTTCTAAAACACAATTTGCAGAGTATAAATGATCACTTTAACTTCTCTAAAACATGCTTTTAAGAAATAAAACTAAAAGCAAAAACAAAAGCTTAAAATTAAGGTGTTGATGGCTAATTATATAATATTATACAACAATTACATTGCAATGGAAATTTTAACAAACTCACCGATATGAAGGTCTTCTTGAAAGGATTTCTCTACGTTTATGAGAATCAATTACACCCTCTGCTTCTGCAGATTCATCTGTTTCTGCAATTGCTGCTACCTAGAATACAAGAGTTTCTAAAAATTCATCATAAAATAAAAGGCCTCCTAATTAATTCATTCAACCAATACATATTTATTGAAGAATATTACATATAAAACACTACATTATGTATTGTGGCAGATACAAACAAGTACACATAGTCCAAGCCCTCAGGGAACTTATAATCTAGCTAGAAAAAATACATAAACACATGAAATACTTAAAACAAGAGAGCAGTATATATAATTATGTGCCAAATAAATAGCACAGAAGATAAACACTACAGATCTGAGAGGAAGCCAAATCACTGCAGATCTGGAATAATCTGGGAAGGTTCTATGTAGAAGGTGGAGAATTCTGAGTCAAAGAATCAAGGATTCTTACTGTTCGGAGAAATCTTAGAAGTCATTTAGTCCTGCCTGTACCTGAATAAAAATTCTTTCTACACCACGCTTAGCAAGTGGTCAACCAGCCTCCACTTAATGATTTCCAGTAAGGTCAAATCCTCTACTTGAAGCAACCATTTCATTTCTGGACAACTTTTATTCTCAGCAAGCTTTCCAGACCTTGAGACCAAATTTGCTTTTATAACATCCACCCCACTACCCTCTGGGGCAATCAAAATGAAAATAATCTCTACTCTACATGAACACCATTCAAATTCATGAAGACAGAATGAGACATTTGTTGTTAGACATTACTTATGTGTGAATTTGTTTAGCTTGACTGTCCTTCATTTTTGCTAAAAAATGAAGGATTTTTCAGAAGGGGAATAACTGTGGGAAGGAATGGGTAGGTCAGGTGATGAAAATTTTAAAAAGAATGTCAATATAACATAAAAAAAAGAAGAGAGCAGAAAGAAGTCCAGAAGGAAACACAGATAAGCAAGACAGAGTTGGTATAAACGTGTTAAAATTTAACACACTTATTTAAAAGAAGCAATTTCCATGTAATTAAGATCCACATTTCATATACTATTCTTTTTTTCTGTTCTCTTCTATATGGAAATTCACATGTTGATTGTGAAATTTCTAATTTTAAAAAAAGAAAATTTGAAAAGAAAATCTTTGAAGGCAACTATCATTGCAATTGTGAGTTTTCTCTTCTCCAGGCTAAAAATTACCCAGGTCCTTCTTGTGATCTTCATATGGCATACTTTCTTGCCATGTCATCATCTGGTCACCCTCCTCTGGATACACTCTAACTTGTTAATGTCCTTCTTAGAACACATTTAATTTTAAGTGCCACAACAGCTAGATGGGGTCTGACCAGGAAAGAGTAGGACAGTGGAACTATCATTTCCCTTGCTGCGCACACTATGGCCTTCTTAGGCTGAAGATCATGTCAGCTTCTTTGGCTGTCATGTTACACTGCTTACTCCAAGTACTCTTTGAAGGTTTCATAGGATTTAAGTAAAGTGGAGAAAGGAGGGGGGGGTGAGGTGGCATTTCGTATTGGAGGGAATATTATTAAAAAAAAAAACATAGAGGAGATTGCGATTTTCATGGCATGCTTTAGGGGCAGCAAATATACCCTTTTGGCTAAACAAAGGATGTGTTATGTACCAGTCCAAAGAGGTTAAGATTAGAAAGACTGAGTGGTATTCAAAGACACATTCAATCTGGCCCTGGCATAAAGATATTATCCTTTTGCAATGACAGTATGGAAGAAGAAAAAGGCCAGTGAAACAAAAGACACACAGGAGGAAATGTGGAATGTCTAATTAGCTGTGTGCCTCTGAAAAATCATAGCATATTTCTAAAAAACCATAACTTCTTCATAAAATAAATCGGTGTAAATATTCTCTAAGATTCCTCCCAAATTAGATTCCAGTATCAAACTGGGAAGCCTCAAATATGTGGAACATAAAAATTTGTTTATCTCTTTTTAAAAAAGTAGTATTGTTTCACTTTTAAGATCTAATAACATTAAATACAATTAACAAATATGAAGGAAACCCGGGAAAATTTTAAATTTACATTTCTAAAACAACATTAACTCTCAATCACTCTGAACACTGAACCATATAAATTATAGCAGACCATTTTGATGATTAAATGAGAACATATGTAAAATATTATTAACTTGAATTAACTAATTCAATTAAATCATTAATAAGCACTTAGTATGCTGAAAGCATTGAGTTAGGTAATGGGAATTCAAAGACAAAAGAGCTACATGCTCCCTGTCCTAAACAACTTACAATTTACCAACAATCACAGAAATGTGAGTATTTATTAACATCAATCACAATGGTAAATTCAGTACAATAACAATAGGTATAATGCACTAAGCCTAATAATGCTAAAACTTGATATGAACAAAAAACCCTGATTAACCAAAGTATCAGTCATTTATGCAAGTGTATGTATGTCGGTATATAGACTTATAACCTGATAAAGTACTTTAATAGTCCGACTTTGAGGAAAATTTGATTTTCCAGCAGATAGTATAGTACCAGTAGTACTAGAGTTTCTTAGGATAGCACATGTGTATGTGTGTAAGAGCACATATACATATGCATACACACACGTATAAACACCCACATATATAATAATAATGTCCTTCCAGAGTCATTTATAATATTCTGCCATGAGAAGGGAGCTCTGACACAATTATTCATGTGTTCCTATCAAGATAAGGTAGTATAACTTAAATATACTGATGAAATTAAGAAATAATCCACACTTCTAATATAATACATATTTCTTAATGTCTCTGTATTGGGGGTGACCATAACTATCTCAACAACTTTGTCCTAAAACTCAAGACAGCAAAAGAAGCATATTCACAAGATAAAAATGAAGGGCTAAATGCCATCTAGAAAAACATATGTCTATCATGGTGTAAAGTTTCAAAAAGTGTTTTGCTTAAAAAGCTTCTATTATTCTAGCAGCTCTGATTGAGTATCAGAATCTGCCAGTAACTCCCTAATACATACTAATAGCCAAAAGTACCAGTACCACTCACAAATCTTTAAATTCTGAAAAGGTAAGCAGATTAATCTAGGACAGCCTAGAACAAATGAAAATTTTTAAGGGATTAAACTTAACTATTTCTTAATAGGTATACTCAGACTTGGAAATGATTCGGAATCCCAGAAAACCTACTATTGCAATGGTGTGGGGTCTCCCTGAAAAATCCAGTCAAAACACAAACCCACAACTTAGAATAAAGTTTATAAGAAAGAAAAGACCAACAGTGACCAAAACTCTGATTAAAAACACATAAAAGTACATCAATGGAACAAACAAGAACTACTGGGAAAATAGGAAAGTAGCTTAGCAGAAGTTAAATTTAGAATAGCATACAACACAGTAAGAATCAAATGGATACACTACCTGAACACAAAAGCCTACATCACAAAACAAAAAATTAGAGAACGAAAGGAGATGCCTTTCACAACTACAGTTAAGGGGAAAACCTTTAACTGAAGAAGAGCTAGAGATGATCATAAAAGACATGGTGTGAACTGATACAAAGTGAAGTGAGCAGAACCAGAACACTGTACACTGTAACACCAACATCATATGATGAAGGACTGTGAATGACTTGGCAATTCTCAGCAATACAACAATCTAAGACAATCCCATAGGACTCATGATGAAAAATGCTATTTACCTCGAGAGAAAGAACTGATGTCGTCTGAATACAGATCGAAGCATACTATTTTTCATTTTCTTTCTTTTTCTTTTTTTTGCTTGAGTGCTCTTACACAAAATGACTAATATGGAAATGTTTTACATGACTGCACATATATAACCTATATCAGGTTGTTTACCATCTCAGGGAAGGTGAAAGGGAGAGAGAGGGATAGAATTTAGAACTCAAAATTAAAAAAAAAAACAAAAAAAGAATAAATGCTAAAAGTTATTTTTGCATGTAATTAGGGAAAAATAAAATATTTTAAATTTTTTTAAATTAAAAACATGGTAGATAATTTTGATTACAAAAAATAAGAACGAAGATAGAATAAAGTGAGAAAATGCTGAGTGGGAAAAAATTAACATAATTGATGTCTGATATTCAAGATACAAAGGGAATGGACACAAATATAACACCAAGAACCATTCGCCAATGGATAAGAGGTCCAACCATTTTCTTTCTTCAAAAGAAAAAATGCAAACTATAAATGATCATATGGAAAACATACTTCAAATTCCTTTAAATGCAAATTAAAACTCCAAGATTTTACTCCATAACTTGCAAACTGGCAAAGATGACCAAAAAAAGGGGGAACGAATCATTGCTGAAGTGACTGAGGGAAAATAGGCACAAAAATATGCATTAGTAGAGCTATTATCTGTTAAACCATTTTGGATTATGAATTTGAGATTATGTAAAAAAAATAATTACAATGTTCATATTCTTTGACCCAGTGGTCCCAATACTGGGCATATGCGTGTGTGTGTGTGTGTGTGTGTGTGTGTGCGCGCGCGTCCCATACACACACACACACACACATACACACACATATATATACATATATACATATACAGATACATATCTATGGGAGGCCAAAGACAGAAACAAAAGTCTGATATATAATACCATATCAAAATAGTCATATCTTCAACTTTTTTTATAGTAAAAGAACTGGGGAAAAAAATAAGTCCTTATCAACTGGGGATTTGTCCAAAAAAACTCATTTATGAATACAAAGAAATATTATTATGCAGGAAAGAAAATGACAACTACAAAAAACTGAGTTTGTATAAACTGATAGAGAGTGAAATGAGTAGACGGTAACAAAATAAATACTGACAACAATTTAAATGGAAAAAACCACCCACTAAAACAAAGCCCAACTTTTAACAATTAAAGAACCCAGTATGCTGAAGAGCAAATAACGAAAAATACCACTCTTCAACCTGGTAATAGAGGTGACAAACAACTAAGGCAGAATATTATACACAAACACACTCTCAGATGTAATTACTATATTATGTTTCTTTTGACTATTTTTCTTTGATATAAGAGAATGTTGAAGTGGGAAGAAAGGGTGTTTCCAAAAATGACTACAGTGCAAAAAACAAAAGACAACAAAAGGCATGAAAATAACTTATTCTGATAAAGGGTTATTATATAATCACAGTACACACACACACACACACACACACACACACACACAGAGACATATATACAAACAGAAAAATTTCTCTCTTAGATCTTAGCAAAAATTTTAAGGCAGTATGACAGTGAGACGAAGGCTGGCCTTGGACTCTGGAAGAACTGGGTTCAAGGCCTATATCTGATATATATTAGTTTTATGACCACAGTCAAGTCACTCAACCTCTGAATGGCCCACATAACACTCTAAGACAAAATTTCAGGGCAGGAGCTAAGCTCTACCAGTAGAGGTAGCTTCCATGAAGGGAGCTGCGTTACTCGGATGAAATCATAAGTTCAGTTATTTTCTTTAAAAAGCTCTATACATTCACTTTCATACAAGGAAAATTCATTCATTTGCTCAATATGACTAAATTCCCAGTATACTCAAGGCTTCATGCTTTCATTTAACTTCAGTCATGTAAAAACTTGGGACAAAGAATGACATGCCTTATTAAGTTAAGAATCTAAAGAGAAGATGAAAAGTCTAGATTTAGGAGTCAAGAAAGTTTTAACACTTGTCTGTAAATCATCTACTAACATACAGAGCATAGATTTGGGCCATATTTTCTTAAACAATTTGAACAGCATAAGAAAAGATGTACAATACACAAAAGGTACAATACACAAAAGTTTTAAAGGACGATACCTACAATTTAAAATATTATGCTGCTGAAGAGATGGCTCATGGGGTAGAGGATGAGAAGGAATATGTTTGGAAATAAAAGTAATATAAAAAAATTTAAAATATATATTCATTATGCTGCTGGACCCAAGCTTTCAAGAACAGATATGAATAAAAAATGCCAAGTCATGATTCCTTCTTATGGTCAAGGTCAGTATTTGAAGAAAGAAAAAAAATTTTTCACCAAAAGGAATGAAAAGAAAATGAGTAAACTGAATATACAAATACACTTGAATATGCATTCCTAACCTTTGTATGGAATTTACATCATAAAAATATGAAATTTTAGCCACAACAGATGATTTAAGATCTACTTGAATAAACGTTTACTAGAAAGTATCACAAGATTAAAACTATATTACAAAGAAATCCAAGTATTTAAGAGAGTAAAAACTCAAGAATATATAGCAAAGTGAACTGAGCTATCATTTTTGTGAAGAATATAAATGCTAATTTCAAAATCAATTGTCTCCTCGTAACAACATGACACTCCTAAAAACCACCGCGACCCTAACACCATCATCCCAATATATTTACCAAATGTATTTCATGAGGGATTCTCAAAGCATGTACCACTGATTAATTTATAAGTCTGATTTTTTTCCCTAGAGAGAAATAAGTTAGCTGACTAATTTAATAACAGCTAGCATTTTTATAACACTTTAAGGTTTTCAAGAGCTGTACAAATATTACCTCATTTGATCCTCACAACAACCCTAAGAGGCAGGTGCTATTATATCCATTTTTATAAATAAGGAAACTGAGGCAGGGGTTAAGTGACTTGCCCTGGGTTCAGACAGCTAGTAAGTGTCTGAGGCTGCTTTTGAACTTAGGTCTTCCTGACTCCAAGTCCAGAGTTCTAGCCACTGTTCCATTTAGCTGCCTCATTTGACATCATTTTGCAAATTAAGTCCTAAGAACAGACCCCAATTCCTAAATCAGTACACTAAACTACCAAAGCATGACAGAAGTGTCACAGAAATTCCTCTGGAACATCTAAGAACAGATTTTAATAAGAGTGGCTCTACAGAGAAGACAAACACAAGTTAGGCAATGGTTTTTTTGGAGCCTAAGCTAACCTGGACAGTCTGTATCTGTGGTGACTGGATAACCGACGGCTGTGGTGTCTGAATCACTCCCTGGACATGCACAGTTTGACCTGAAGGCAACTGCACTAGAGTTACAGCTGAAGAGCCTCTTCCGGTGCCTGATCCAGCTACAGAAACCTGCAAAAATGATCATTCAGTATTACACAACTGTCACAATAAAAACAAAACAAGAGTAACAACGGCCAAAAAACAGGCACTGTTCCTCACGAAGGCTGGTTTATTTTCTTTTTTTAGCTATCAAGGAATGACAAACCAGCTGCTATATTTACCATTAGGAGATTACTATTATCCTAGAACAGTTGTTCTCTGATGTTATAGATATTAAAAAAAAATCTATGACCCTCACTTTCAGTTCCCATGCTGAGGTGGGCTGAGAATGTTTCCAGCAAAGGATTCTAAGGCAGTTAAACCACCTCAACACTACAGAAACCAAGCCTCCTTTGGAAAAGATCAATGCTTTGGTTAAATTCTCATGTGACTATTTTTACCTTTTATCTGTAATATTTTAAGAGTGAGGAAACTAAGTGAAAATTAAATTTGGGAAGCCATTTTATTCTAACAAATGTTACTTAAAATCTCAAGTTGATGACATTCTGATGTCCTTATGATCATAGGACAACGCCTTGCAGACTCAGTACTGCCACATCTATATATTAAAATCACAAGTTAATGCACACCAAAAGGAATACCAATAACCCCACGTACTTGCAGAGGGTTTTTAACCCATTAATAACAGGGTCCTTCTTCCTTCCCATCCCTTGCTACCCCATTTAACTCAAATGCTTTGTACAAAGCTCAGACCACACTGAGAAGAAAAACTGTCTCCATTTTCACTACCTGCTAAGGTCCTCTCAACAAAAATTTCCATCAGCTAAAGAACATTATTGCTAAAGGAAATTTAAAATTACTGAATCTCTTAATCACAAAGATTCCTTCCATAAAAATGTAAGATATAGAAACAACCTAATCATCTTAGTGATAGACATACCCAGAAAACAGCAAGCTGTGCCTCTCTTCCCTCGCTACTGAGTAACTTAGCATTCATCTCGACACGTAATTTTCGAAGAGCAGCGACCAAATCCTACAGCCTTCAAGATGTTACAGAAAACCAGGTGCCTGGCACTGTGTCCCTGGAGCTGCAGGAAACTTTGTGATCTTATTTCAGGGGATATAAAGTAGCAGAACAGTGTCAGGAAAAGGACATTGGAATCTGACATTGGACACATTCAAATTCCAGCTGTCACACATATTAGCTGTGTGACCCTTGGGCATTCCTCTCTGAACCTGTACAAAGAGGACAGTAAAATGGACTCATCTTTCTACCTCACTGGGCTGTTATGACAACGAAATAAAAGGACATATGTGAAAATGTTCTGCATATCATAAATGATACACCATCATAAATCATACTGACAGTAAATAGATCAACCAGGACACAAGCATATCCAACTTGATAAAAATGAAAAAATTAATGAAAATCTCTTTATACTTCATATGCTCAAGGTAAAAAGTCTTCTAATGGATAGATGTTAAGCCTCAGAATCAAAAAGACTGAGATCAAGTTCAGCTTTTGATGAACACTACTGCATGACCCTTTCAGTGTCCTAAGACTATAAAACTGCAGAGAAAGTACATATTTTAGAAAAGGAAGTCTCTTACCAAAGCTCCCCCTACACAGATGAAATCACAAGTCAGGCAAAAAAAAACAAAAAACAAAAAAAACACTAAGGTATTCATAATAGGTTACTTGCAAAAAGCAAATTCCCTACCAATCCCACAAATATTTATCCAGCCCCTAGAATATACTCAGCACTGTACTATACTGTAATACAGAAAAAAGGATGAGACAGGAGATTACAGTTCAGTTGGGGTGCCTGAATGAATACATTATATTAAGAGCAAAATTTTGTGTTCCAAACGGTTAAGGAGTTCAAAGTAGAGGGCTAGAATGGTCAAAGAAGGCTTCATAATTTGGCCTTGATTTGGACCCTAAAGGATGAGTAAGATTAAGGTTGGTAGAGGGGAAAAGGTCTATAGAGAGAAGAATGAATTAGGGCACTAAAGGGGGAATCCACATAGGATGATCACAGGACAGTGAGGACGCTAGCCCAATGTAAACATTCGTTTTAGAGAATGTAATGGGACATAGTAGAATCTGAGCCAGACTATGATATATACTCAGTGTCAAGCTAAATATAGTATTTGTTCTGTCCCTTTATCTTATAAGCACTGGGGTAGCACGGAGAGCTCCTGAGGAAAAGAATGATGTGATTTAAAAAAAAAAACAACAAATATTTAAGAAGACTGATTTATCAGAGGCAGCTAGGTAGCTCAGTGGATAGAGCAGTAGGCCTAAAGTTAAGATCTATGTTCATATCCAGCCTCAGACACCCACTAGTTGTGTGACCCTAGGCAAGTCACTTAACTTCTGTTTGCCTTAATCCACTGGAGAAGGAAATGGCAAAGCACTCCAGTATCTTTGCCAAGAAAACACAAAGAGTATGGAGTGACCATAGCCCACGGGGTCACGAAGAGTTGAACACAACTGAACAACAACAATAATCTGCTATTAGCATGTACAACGAACTGGAAGTTGACAAGACTGGGGGTAAGGAGGCCAAATAGGAGATTACTGCAATAATTTAGGGTATGAGGGAGAATAAATTACAATGGTGATAGCAATAATGAATAATGATTCCATTGAAAAAACTGGGCAATAATAAAAAGGACTAAGAGGGGGGACTAAGAAGGAATTATTGATTCAATTTTGAAAAATGAGTTAAATAATAGTGGTGAAAAGTCCAATAGAGGAGCTGTTACAGAATTAAAATTCACAGGAAAGATCAGGGTAGGAAGCAGATTTTTAACTTAAAGAAGCTCCCTGGGAAATCTATTGTTAAAGGGAGCTTTTCCTAAAAAGAATAATGATAGCAAAATGCTATTTTAATAGTGTATTACTGCGAAGAAATTCAAAAGATTGTTCCTACATTAATACCAGAGATTCTGCTCTAAGAAAGAGCTTCTCTGATATAGTCTTCTCTGAAGATCCCATTAAAATGTAGAAAGAAAAATATGACACTCCTTTCAAATGGTCCTCTTCTAGGAACTTGGAATAATGTTAAAAGCTAAGTCATTAAAATTAAAAATAAGCAGCTTTTGACTAATGAAAAACTGAATTGGAATTTCATGCTTAGGAGTTGAGGAAAGTGATATCTTAATAAAAAGAGATTATTATGTCTGAATCTAAAGAATATGCATAAATATTCAAATACCAAATATGCATTCCAAGATTTTTATAAGTAAAAAAAAAATCTTAGCTTTGAACAGTTCAATACATTTATGTATATTCACCGCTCTCCAGAAAGTCACATCAAAATGAATATTAAATGCAGGATTTTTAGTAACTTAAATTATATTCACGAATAAAAACCTTGTTAGTTTGTATGTCTTTATTTACAATAAAGATGTTGCCCAAAAGTTGTATAAAGTGATCTGTTTAACCCATAATGGGCTTGTAGTTTACCTTTTTTTCTAGATCCCCTAAAGAGCAGTCCTCCTGTGTGTGATGCCTGAAACACAGATTATGCTGATGCCACCACATCCACTGAAAACCCCACTATAGACAGTTAATCTGAAGAAATAAATTAGATGATGCGATTTACAGCCTTACTTGGCTTTGCAATTTTAAAAATCTTATTAATGACACTTGTAACTGGGAGAAACCTCACAATGTTGTAACACAGCACTTGATTTAGACCTAACAGACTATATCCAATCTGTTGCTAGGTTCCCTGAAGATGGATTTGTGATGTCACAATGGACCTTCAAACGTCACAGAGCCCTCTACTTTAAGGGAGCTAATAAAGTAAAAAATGTCACTGTGAACTAAACTGTTATAATAACCCTGTGACCAAGGAATCAAATGTCTATAATCTCCAATTTAATTTCAAGTAGAAATAATGAGATTCCATTAACAGGTGGAGCTTTTAACTAAGAAAAGCTATCATAATTCCAGTACTAAAAACAGGCATCCAAAATCTGCCTCAATTTTGAGGATGACTCAGAGCAAAATTATTACAAGTGGAAGCAATAAATTAGATACAAAAACATTCACTTTCACCATATTAAAATTTGGGGGAGAAATATATCATTTGTGCTTCTATGGGAAAAGAAAAGGTCAAGAGGAAGGAAACATTGAAGTAATCCTCATTTTATCCAGTATCTTCACTCTGCTCCCACAAAAACGTTTTTTTGTTACCAGAACAGGAATACAAATTACACAACAGACTAGGTTGTTTCACAGAGGTCTTCCTGTCTACCCTCAGAAACAGTTGCTACTGAGCAAGAGCATATCCACAAAGATGGGAGGATATGGAAATGCAAATTAATTCAGCAACTACATAACCGAGAATGTTAATTTTAAAATATCTGATTAACTTGTGGGTTTTTTAACCTAATCTTTATATTTATATGATAATAACATTATGAAGGGAATCATAAAAGGTTTTCAAAACATCTATTTAAAACTGGATGCATAAACAAAAATAATGCTCCAGAAAATCACTCTTCTTAATGTTATAGAAGTAAAATGGTATAATTACAACTTTGAAAAAAAATTCAACCCGCAAGATTAAAAAAAATACACATACATAAAAAACAGCAGCAGAAAGAATCATTTGCTTTAAGGTTACAAGAGTTTAAGAAATACCTTGGAAGCCTGAACTTGATTTTGGGAATGGGGGTAGAGGGGAGAGAGGATAGGGTATACGTGTGTGTGTGTGTGTGTGTGTGTGTGTAAGAACAGAAGGGAATGGAGGAAAAAATTGTCTCTAAAAATATCACTTATTATTTTCTACAGGATTTATCATGACAGATATAATAAAATAAAAACCCACCAAGAAATATTAAGTACCTATTATGTCCCAGGTGTTGTACTAGAAAATAGAGGTAGAAAGATATGTTTGCCCTCCGTCCCTTCTCTCAAAGACCTTATAACCTATCCAGTGGAAAAAAGATACATGTACAGAAATAATATAAAAATATATATATGTAATAGAGTCAAATAATTTTGGCAGAACATCACCAGTGAGGAATGGAAGCATTGGGAGAATTCAGGA